TTTTGAGTACTGTTTGTCCATCTTCGTGTATTGTTTGCGTATTTTTTAATTGTTCTCCAAAGTCCGCCTGTAGGGTGGCATGCCCGACCTAAAACCGAAAGCCAGGCATGGTCACACATTCTCTGGTCCGTACAGTGGATACCCATGCCAAGAAGCACCCTGCTTGCATCCAGGGTGCCCTGGGTTTCTTGGTTTCCGATGCCTTCATTCCATGGAAAGCGTGACGTTCCCACACCAAAAAAACAGTGGACGCCCTGGGGTCTCAGGGTTGGGTTTCCTCTGGAAGGCTTCTTGTGGTGGCCTCTGCTGTAGTCGCCTAGGGAGAGCGGCATGCCTGGAGCGATCGGGACTGGCCGTGTCACGGACGACTCTTTCCCGGGGAGGTTGAGGACTAGGACGCAGACAAATAGGATGGACGCTTCTTCGCCCCCATCAAGCAAAATGCCCACCCGTCAAGCACTGCCCAAGGAGCCACGCGGGAGGGGCGGGCGAGGAGGGGAGGCACAGAAAAAGTCGCCACGGTGTTTCTCGTAAGTCGGGCATGTCCCTCTACAGGAGGAAAATCAAAACAGTCAAAAAGAAGTCTGGAGACGACGTTTTGCGATTTGTGAATCTATGAGGAGTATGTTTGACCATTTCTAATTCTTCCTCCAAAGCCCCCCTGTAGGGGGACAGGCCCGGCCTAATGCTTCTTCGCAATTCTCAGGCCGACGCTTTTTCCCAGGACGGGGACGCAGACAAACAAGGTGGACGTTCTTCGCCCCGATCAAGCAACGCTGATGGGCCTGCTTTCCACCACCACCACCACCAACGGAAGCTGGAGGGGGGAAAGAGGTGGAGAAGGAGGAGGAGGAGGTGGAGGAGGAGGAGGAGGAGGAGGAGGAGGAGGACCCCCTCCCGCACCGACTTCTGGTGGTGGCGGTGGACATCGAGCCCACCAAACGCCCCCCCGTCAAGCAATGCCCTGCATCGATCCCCCCCCCACTATAGCGACGCCCAAGCGGAGCGCATCTTGATCGGGCCTCGAGTCCCGGGCAGGGGCCGCGGGGGGCCACTCGGAGCGGCGCGGCCTCCGGCAGGCGCGAGGAGGACTGCCGGGAGGCTGGGCACCAGCGCCCCTGCCCGGGCGAGAGCCGAGTACCCTGAAGTCTCGGGGGCGGCAAAGAGGGGGGGGATGGCTAGGGGGAGGTGGACATCATGGCGGGGGCCATGATATTTCCCCAGATTTCATGGTGCCTCTTCTTACTTCATTACGTCCCTGGCCCCCCCGCTGGGCCGCGCACATGCCGCCGGTCATGATCTGCACCCCCCCCTCTTGGACACCCCCCTCTTGGCCGCTCCCGAAAGTCGGGCACGTCCCTCTACGGGGAATCTGCAAAGCTAGTTCGAAAGGTAGTCTGGGGACGACGCTTCGACTGCTGTTGACATTTGTTTGGGGGATGTTTTGATTCGTTATCATTGTCGCCCCATACAATCGGGGCCCTGAAGAAGGAACCCTTTTCGTTGGGGAGGGGCTCCGCGTTCCTTAATTGTTTCGCAGCTTGCCCTGGATTTTCCTTAGGTTTTCGATCGGAAATCGAAATTTAACTTATGGAAAAAAGGGGCCTCGTTCCTTATTTAAGGTTCCTTAGGTCAGCGCCCCGCCTGTAGGAGAACGTGCCCGACCTGAGAGTGCCCAGACCTCCTTCAGTCACGAGGACCAGTTTTCCGCTATTGTCGGCCCCTGGGGGGCCCTCACCCGGCTTCGCGACCGTCAAAGAACGACTCAGGATGACGAACTCGTCCTGTGGAACGCGTCGAGATCTTTGGGGGGGCGACGCAATGGAAAAAACATGGCGTCGGGGGCCGCGTTGACGCGGCGGCGACCCCAGCGCGGGCTTTCAACGCTAAACGCCGCCAGGGGCCCCGAATCGGCCGGTGTCGAGCCATCTGCGCAATCGGAGAGCCAGGATCGTCCAAGGCGGATCGATCCACTCGGCGTCAGAGACCACTGCCCGCGACACCGCGGCGCGGAAGCCAGCCGTGCACGTGCGGGGCGCTCCAGAAGGGGCCGCCGTACCCATCGGTCGTTGAAAGTAGGTATTTCTGGATTCCCAGATTCCAATCTATTTTCAGCGCCTTCCTACTTCAAGAGTCGAGTGGTTTTCCCTCTTCCTTCCTCTTCAGGAGGCGTGCGGGAACCCAATCTATCTCCAACGCCTTCCTACTTCATGCTTCTACCTACTTATTCCGACCGATGGGTACACGTGCGGGGCGCTCCAGCAGGGGGCCTCACGCCAGAGGGGCGAAGGCGTTGCCCTCGCCTCCCATGAGGCGGGGGGCAGGCGGAGGGCCGGCAGCACTGCAGAGCAGGGGCAGGCCGGCGGAAGCTGGCCGAAGGAGCGTCGCCCCCCCCCCGAAGGGCCTGGCATCGCTCGGACGTGTGCATTTTTTTCTCGGCGAGGATCATCGAGGATCACACGTACTCGTTATCGTCTTCGTCTTCGTCTTCGTCGTCGGACCGCCCGGACTATAATCATTGTCCGCTATTGTCGGGTGGGGTCGTTTTTTCGAGTTGTCAACAAATTCGCCCGAAAGATATGTATTTTCCATCTACTGGCCAGGGGATTTCTAAAGACCTATCGGGGTTATGCCCCGCGGCCCGTTCGGTGCAGAATAGCCGCACCTGTCTTGGCATCGCTCGGACGTGTGCATTTTTTTCTCGGCGAGGATCATCGGGGAGCATCCCTGATCATCTGGCCAAAAAGCCACGCACGAAAGCGAAAAAAAAATCAGGGAATGGACGTCCGAGCGATGGCGAGAGGGATGCCGAGCTCTCTTTTGGTGCAGGGCTCAGCGGGCCCCGGAAACGGCAGGGCCGTTTTTTTTTCACCGCTTCCCCAAAAGTGCCCCTTGAAAGTGGAAACGGCAAAAAAAACGGCGACCGGAAACGGCAACAAAAACGGCTCCATGATTGGAATTGGAGCTGGAGCTGGTCAAAGAACGGCGACGGAACCGATAAAAAAAACGGCGTCGGAACTGGGGAAAAATTGCAAAACGGAACCGGTAAAGAAACGGCCCTGTCGTTTCCAGGGCCCACTAAGGGCCTGTCCCTCTACAGGGGGAATATTGAACAATACTCAAAAAAAGCCTGGGGACTATTTTCGGAGTATTTTGGGGGGCAGCTTTATAGGGCATTGTTTGGGCTCGCTTCGCTTCGCCTCAAGTCTTCGTCCTGCGTCCAGGCACTGCCAGGGGAGGAGCTTTCTTTTGGTGCAGGCCTCCGAAGCCCGCGCGCGTGGCCGAATGTTCCGTTCCAGCGTTCGGCCCTCCCGCGGCCGGGCGCGTTGGCCCTCCGAGTACTGTGCATGCAGGCGCGCACGGGGCAGGTTCCCCCGTCGGGGTCGGGGTCCCCCTCAGTGGCCCCCGTCGCGGGCCCACCGAGGGCTCGCTTTGCTCCGCCGCACATCTGCGTCCTGCGCCCGGGCACTGCCAGGGCTCCCCCTGCGCCGCCGTCGCGGCCGTGCGGTGCGCCCCGCGACGTGGGCTTGCCCGTGGGCTCCGTCTGGCTGGGTCGTTGCCCGTCCGCGCCGAGGAGTGCTGCGGCCATCCCCCGGCAGCGCCTGGACGCAGGGCGAAGAGCTGAGGCGAGGCGAAGTCAGCCTTCGCGTTCGGCGTGCATCAAGCAGTGGCGAGGCGTCCTGGCTCGCCTGCAGCCCTACCAGACAATGCTCTAAGAACGTATTTGTTGTGGTTTCCACGAAATGTTCTTAGAACATTCCTGGCGGAGTCAGTCTTGTTTTATCACATCGGGTTTCTGTTCTAAGAACATTGTTCTTGTTCTTAGAAGCGAAGCGAGCGCGAAGCGAAGTGAGCCCTTAGTGGGCCCCAGAAACGACAGGGCCGTTTCTTTACCAGTTCCGTTTTGCCGTTTTTTACGGGCTCCGACGCCGTTTGTTGACCGGTTCCGTCGCCGTTGTTTGACCGGTTCCGGCTCCGGTTCCAATCCTGGAGCCGTTTTTGTTGCCGTTTTTGGTCGCCGTTTGTTTGCCGTTTCCATTTTCAAGGGGCATTTTCTGGAAACGGTGAAAGCACAGCCCTGCCGTTTCTGGGGCCCACTCAGAGCGAGCCCTCACGTTCTGCGTAAAGTCGGCCCAGATTAGTAGGTCGACCCTGCCACATCAAGTGTACCCTTGTGTCCTGTGTCTCGCGACCCATGCTCCTTGCATTCCTGTGGCAATGTGGCCTCGGAAGGGTCTTGTGTCCTCTCGCGTGTCCTGTCCAATCGAGTCCGACTGTACGCATACATGTGTAGTGTACCCAGTGACGGGGTCCCCCAGCCTAGGGGTGGCCCCTTTTTCCAAACTCCCCCCTCCCCTTGGTATCGCTCGGACGTGCGCACTTCTTCTCGGCAGGGATTATTAAGGAGGGAGCATCCTGGATCATCCTGCGAAAAAAACCACGCACGAACCCTAAAAAAGCAAAGGGAATGGGCGTCCGAGCGATGGCCACTCCCCCCCGGCGTCACATGTTGGCCCCCGGCGGCCGGCGGGCCTCTTCGAGGGCGGTGCCCAGAGGCCGCCAACACTGCGAAGCGAGCCCTCACGCCGTGTGCACACATGCGTATACAGTGCACCTCTGCCTCGTCCTATATTTTTTTGTTCTGCAGGCGGGGGGGGGGCGGGCAAACAAAACCCCGCCCCCCCACCCGAAACAAAAAACATCCTTCCCCCCCCCCCCCCCCCCCGAAAAAAAAAAACCCTCCCCCCCCCCTTCTGCAAGCGGGGGGGCGGGGACCCCCCCCCCCCCCCCCCCCCGAAAAAAAAACTCCCTCCCGCCCCCGGGGGGGGGAGAGGGAGGGGAAAACCCCTCCCTCTCCCCCAAAAAAAAAACCCGGACCCCCAGAGTACCCTTCAAGACGTGCCAAGAGGCCCTCCGTAGCCATGTCGGCTCAAGCCAGATGTGCTGAGGAGCAGCAGCTCCTTGTCGGCTGCCGCGCGCGGGGGGCCCTGCTCATGGCCATGCCAGGTGACGACTTCGCCACGGCGCTCACGAAGCATGGCCTCGGCGACGCGGCGACCGAGGGCTCACGCAGTCCTTCCCTTAGTGGGCCCTGGAAACGACAGGGCCGTTTTTGTTACCGGTTCTTTTTTGCCGTTTTTTACGGGCTCCGACGCCGCTTTTTATCGGTTCCGTCGCCGTTGTTTGACCGGTTCCGGCTCCGGTTCCAATCCTGGAGCCGTTTTTGTTGCCGTTTTTGGTCGCCGTTTTTTGCCGCTTCCATTTTCAAGGGACATTTTTCTGGAAACGGTGAAAAAAAGGCCCTGCCGTTTCCGGGGCCCACAAAGGTCCTTCCTGGTCCAGCGAACCTTGCGACGAGTTTTCTACCAGCCACAGCGCGTTCTTCGACGCCGACCGTGTCAGCACTGCTTCGGCATCGACGCACGTGGAAGAGGCCTGGGTACCGAACAGCCAGGAGACCATGATGAACAGCCTCGACAAGTGGCGCTTGTCAGCCGCCGCAGAGACGATCGACGATATCCCCGAGCAGCTGGGCAGATTAGTGCAGAACAAGGCTAAGAGCCTTGCCGAGAGCGTGAAGATCGCGCTGGTCATAGTGGAACATGCCATTCGCAGCAGGGGTGGCGGCGAAGATGGCGTCGATGCGGCCATCGACCATCTCGGCAAAATCCCAGAGATCATCAGGAGGTCCTTTGACTCGAAGATCGTGGGGGCGAACGGCGCGATGCGGCTGGCGATGCGGCTGAAGCGCAGCACCATCGTGCAGATGCTCAGGACCACTACCCCTGATGGCCGAGAACTGGTAAGGCGGATGTGGACCATTCCCGAGGAGCTGGAGCAGATCGTCGGGCAGGCGGTCGGCCAGGCCATTTAAGAGTCCCAGCTGGAGGTTGCCGGGCACTGCGCGCGCGTGCTGATGCGCCTGCCGCTGGACGCGGGTGTGTGTCGCCAGGTCCTGGAAGACGCCGAGCTGCACATCGCGGAGGCGGTGGCCGAGGTGCACTCCGAGACGCTGCGGGACCTGCGGCGCACGGCCACTGCGAGCGTGAGGCACGCCGTGGCCTACGTGGAAGACCCGTGAAGGCCCCCGCCGTGTCCCAGTCCGCGGGGGTAACCTCTATACGTCTTTAGTTTTGGTCCCCCCCCCCGGGAGCTCTCCGCGGTGAATAAACTCGTCCCGAAACTCGTCCGCTCCCGAAACCTCTCCTCCTCCTCAAAGTGCAGCTCTCGCCTTAGCGCCGCGCGCATTCGTCTTAAAAGTTTGCAACAGTTTGACGGATGGAGGGCTCGTGTTGTTCAAAGTGCAGATCTCGCCTTAGCGCCGCGCACATTCGTCTTAAAAGTTTGCAACAGTTTCAAGGATGGAGGGCTCGTGTTGTTCAAAGTGCAGCCCTCGCCTCAGCGCCGCGCACTCTCGTCTTAAAAGTTTGTAACAGTTAACTACAAGGATCGAGGGCTGGTGTGGTTCAAAATCCAGCTCTCGCCTTAGCGCCGCGCACATGCGTCTTCGTCTTCGTCGTCGTATCGCTGTCGTAGTCGTAATCGCACACGTACTCGTTATCGTCTTCGTCTTCGTCTTCGTCGTCGGACCGCCCGAACTATAATTATTGTCCGCTATTGTCGGGTGGGGTCGTTTTTTCGAGTTGTCAATAAATTCGCCCGACATATATTTATTTTCCATCTACTGGCCAGGGGATTTCTAAAGACCTATCGGGGTTATGCCCCGCGGCCCGTTCGGTGCAGAATTGCCGCACCTGTCTTGGCGTCGCTCGGACGTGTGCATTTTTCCTTCGGCGAGGACCATCGAGGAGCATCCTTGATCATTTCGCGAAAAAACCACGCACGAAACCGAAAAAAACACAGGGAATGGACGTCCGAGCGATGGCGAGCTGTGGCGTCGCCGGCCGCCCCCCCGCGCAGCCAGGTCGGTCAAGAGAGCCGCTGGACACGTCAGCTCGTGGCGTGTTGACTCCAGCGCCTCCACTCGACTCTGCAACCGGCGAGGCACGCGCGTTCACTTGTGGGCGCGCTGGCCCGTCGGAGGAACACGGGGGCGTGCGGTCCGCTGCTGCGCCTTAATACTTATAGAGTCGTGGGGCGCGAGGTCGCTGCCATGTCATGGCAGAGGTCTCCGGTGTCTACTTCTGCAGTGAGGGGTTCCGCTGCCTATCTCCGTGCTCCGAAACTAACAGACACAGAGACGCCGATTCGCCTCCTCGCCTTGCGTACGGCCCCGTGTCGTATCGCGATCCAGTATCACCATGTGTTTGGCACATCCGGTGTCCGTGGATTTTTTTCACGAGGTGCGTCGGGGCAGCGGGCCGTGAATCAGCGCTGCGTATTACAGCTTACTGCTCAAGGCAGGGTCGCTGCCAGCGAGGACTCCAAACAGTGGGTGCTCGCACTCGGTGCGCTCTCGATGTGGCGCCATTGATCGGATACAGTCTACGTATAGGGGGTGCAGTCGTCGACTCCAATGCGACACCTCCCAGCGTTGCAGGCAGAGTGCTGCTGTGCAGAAGCTCCTGCTCCTTCCTCCCTCCTCCTGCCTCCTCACCGTCTCTTCCCCTGCCCCTTCGCCTGATTGTGCACCGGCGGAGGTCTATCAGCGCGTCGATCGGTATGCCCGTCGCGCCAAGTGGTGTCAGGCTGGCAGGCTGAGCTGTGGGTGGCGTCCACTGGCCGTCATCCCAGCAATCTATATTCTTTGCTCCCGGTGTCGGCGGCAGTTCCCGCCGCCGTGCCAGGGGAGCACTCTGTTCGGCGGCGCATCGAGCACCGCCCAGGGCGCCGTGTAGCCAGTCAGGATCCGTGTGTTTGTGTGTGTTTGTGTGTGTGTGTGTGTGTGTGTGTGTGTGTTCAGCTCGAGGCACACCCTCTTTAATAGTATCCAAGCTGTTTGCCGAGATCTCGATCGCGCGCGGCACCCGCCACATAGGTGCTCCGTGGCCCATGCGCGGACGACATGGAACAACGAAGACGTCACAAGAAGCCATCAAGACGCCTGAACAGGCCTTCGGGAGGACCCCCAAAGAGGCAAAGCTCTTCACATTCCCTTGGGAAACGTACGTGTTCAGCATCTACGCTTTTTGTGTCGTAACAGCGTTCACGACGGCCCAAGAGGCCTCCGAGATCGCCCCAAGACGGCCCAAGAGGCCCCACACATTGCTTCAACACAGCCCACGAGGGCCCCAATATTGCCGCAAGACGGCTCAACCTTGGGTGCGTTTGCTGAACGGCTTCGTTTGTCTGGATGCTTCTTCTGCGGATGGATGTTCTGCCTTCTTGGGAGGAGGGAGAGGAGGAGGAGGAGGAGGAGGAGGAGGAGGAGGAGGAGGAGGAGGAGGAGGAGAGAGGAGGAGCGGAGAGGAGAAGCGGGGAGGAG